GATTGTACACACAATGTACAATGTTCTAGAGCCTATTAACTCAAACACTACTGAATTCTAGAATAAAACAGAAAGTAAACATCTTCAAGTTTACATTTATATACTACTAAAAATAGAGATTTTTTAAGTAAATGTTATAGTAACTTGAAGATTCATTTTTTGTTTTTTCAAAACAATGGACAGAAGAGTGTGGTGATAAAGATAATTTCTTTTAAGAAAAGTCTAGGGGCTAGAGGGATGGCTCAGCAGTCTATAGCACTTGCTGCTCTCCCAGAGGATCCAAATTTGGTTTATAGCACCCATATCAAGTGTCACGCCTAACTCCAGGTCCAGGCGATGGGTGCCCTCTTCTGGTCTCCATGGACACCTGCACTCATGTGTACACACCCACACTGATACACATATACACATAATTAAACAATATATAGTCTTGAACTTTTCAGTGTCAGATTTTCTGCCACTCATATCCCTTAGTTAAAGCTGTACAATTCTGAGGAATCTAGCATTCCTTGTGATCTATAACAAGAAACAGTAACACAAGTAAGATTTACTTCTATCAGAATTTCACTCAAAGAAATCTAACAGTAGGGCACCTTGGGGAATACCTGTAATAGCAGCATCAGTTGACTAGAAAGAATTTGAGGGGAGAAGGACAGACAGAGAAAACACAAACTATCCATATAAAAAGATAGATACCACCATTAGTAACTAGGCAAGTCAAGTACATGAACAGCTTTGTTAGGTGACAGAGCACTTACCTAGTATATGCAAAGCCTTAAGTTCAAATTAATGATACATGAATGAAAACAGTATTTATAGAGGCAAAGAAAACATTTAACATAATTTTATAATTGCTGAAATTCCTCCACATGCTAAATATTAAGGTAGGCAATTGAAAACACATGTAATTTCATCCTCCCAACAATCATGCAAGGCAGTGGTTCTCCAGTGCTCCAAAGATCCTTTCACAGTGGTAGCATTATCAGATATCCTACATATCAGGTATTTACATTGCAATTCACAACAGTAGCAAACTTACAGGTATGGTGTAGCAACAATAGTAATTTTATGGCCATGGGTCACCACAACATGAGGAACTCTATAAAATGGTCACAACATTAGGAAGGCTAAGAACCACTGATGTAAAGTTCAGAATATTATCCTATTTTACAAATAAGAAAGCCAAGGCCCCAGGATTTTGCTCAGGGACACATTACTTGTTTAAGATATAACCAAACTTCCCTCTAAAATTTTCTGGTATCCAGTTCTGCTTCCTTGCTCTAACATTAATACTGCCATTCCTAAAAACTTAAGTATTTTGTATTTTCACTATTAAAAAAATGTGCTTTTTTTTTTTTTAATTTTGGAAGAAGTAACCATTAGGTTGGGAAAAGTTCTTTCTAAGGTAACAGGAAAAATAAAACAAAAATATTGTGATTATTGTGACATCATTTAATAGTTTGTGGGTTGTTTTGTTTTTTGTTTTGTTTTATGACTAGTCTAGATTCATTCACAACACTCTTTTTGAGGGGGTACTTTTTGATACAGGGTTTCTCTGTGGAGCCCTGGCTGTCCTGGAACTCACTCTGTAGACCAGGCTGGCCTTGAACTCAGAGATCCGCCTGCCTCTGCCTACAGATTAAAGCATGTGCCACCACTGCCCAGTTCTCTCTTTTAACTAAGTTGCTAAGGTCAGTCTCTCTTGTTTTGTGTTTAATTTATAGGGATGGGGAGTGCTTGTGCACAGAGGTCTTGTATGCGTGGTGACCTGGGGACAACTTCAGGAAGGTGGCAGTCTCCTTCACCAGAGATCAACTCAGAACTCAGGTTATCAGGCTTGGTAGCAAATGCTTTTACCAGCTTAGCCATCATGCCAGCATGTTCAGGCCGGTCATAAACCAACCCTGAAAGTCAAGTTGGCTTTGACTTCATGATCCTCTTGTCCCTGACTCCCAAGTAGCTGGGAGTACAGGCATGCACCACCAGGTCTGATTTTGGTTCCTTCTGTCCACCCTCTTCAGATACCAGATTACCTTCAGATACACCAGCTACACCAAGGCATGCCATAAAAATCCCCTTCTCCAGATTAAATGACTTGTTCCTTTTATCATTTCACTGCCTGTATCACACATTCCACTTGTTCTCCAGCTAAGTATCTGGAACTACGTCTTTGTTCGTACAATAACTGATAAAGTGCATTGTTGCTATTTTGGAGAGTTTACATTACCTAGACTGATGACAAAGGTAAATTTATTTAGGGTAAGACCTGGGAGTATGGAGTTCCAGATAAAGGAATTCTTACCCTGCATGCCTCACAACATGTTTTAGGGAAGAAAAAAAAAAAAAATCCCTATTATTACATCTCCTAGATTCAAATTTGATTTCGTACTTTTGTGAGGGTATGTACTATAGACTGAGGTAGAAGGGTAAATCTTACATCTCTGATGTGGTTTTTACATACTGACATGATATCTAAACACATTAGTCCATATATTTATTTATCCATAATCCCATCTACAAGAAAAGGACTTCAACCACAATTGCTCTAATTAAGTACTTCTGGTGATCTCCTCGCATCCAACCACCTACACTAAAAGCTTCTCAGAGGTTTGTGGGGTTTTGTTTGGTAGGTTTGCATTTCCTTTTTTTTTTTTTTTTTTTTTTTTTTGAGACATGATCTCAAGGCTAGCTGCAAGCTCAAAGTAACCCTCATCCCTCTATCTCCCAAGTACAGGATCACCAACAAACACCACACCCAGCATCTCAGTAGCCCTAAGTAGTACTCATGCCCCATTTGTAGATCATATTTATAAAAATAAGGTATGATCTTATCCTCTACTTTTGGTAGCCTGTTATTCAAAGACTGTTGTTATTCATGTTTTCAACTTTGGAGATAATACAAATATCACAATATAACACTTCAGGTATTGCTATAAGGGCAAAAACTTTCAAAAACAATATTACAAATTCATTGCCTAAGTTATTTATTGTTGATGGATTAGTAATTACTCAAACAAAGTTGAAATATACTAAGATCACACAATTTTTAATATCTCAGAATTTATCCTTTGTGTAATGGCACATTTTATAAATTCACAGTTGTATCAAATTTTAAAAAGCCAGCTGAAAGAAAACTTCATCTCAAAGGATTGCATAATGATCTCAAAAGTATATTTTTAACTCTCAATTCAAAAAGGAATTAAATTTTTTAAATTTTTCTAGCTATATTTAAATTTTATATTTTATAAAAAAGATCTAAAAATTTTTAGATATTTTACCAAGTATCTAAGTCTTGTGAATGTGTTACTTGCCTCAAAATGTAACAAAAGCCAGGCAATCGTAGAATACACATGAAAGTTAGGATGCTAAGACAGGAGGATTTTGCCAAGTTCCAAGGCCAGCCTTAGCTACTTAAGGATTATCATGGCCAACTAGGCAACACAGCAAAACTCTGTCTCAGAAAACAAAAGCAAACCAACAGAAAACAAAATTGAAAAAAGAAAAAACCCGTTCGTACAGATGAGACATTCAGTAATGACCACAATTCAATGAAAGAAGTAAACCAGGCCCACTTTTAATTAAACGAGCATTTCTAGGCACCTGTGTGGCTCAAACTGTCCACATGGAATTTGACCGCAACAACTTAATCTCCATAATTAAAGACCTTTAGGTAGGTCTTAAGTTTCATCTATCCCCTTTACTAGCACTTTGAACAAACATACTTGCTACCAAAAGAAACACTAACATATTTGAAATTGGTTGCACTTTTAATAGAGTGCATTTCAAATTGCATGGCCTTTTCTTCCTTCCTCAACCTGTTTTTATAAAACTAGCATCTTAAGATTCTCACTGCAAAACAGGTTCTAGCAAGCATGGCAACTGATGCCAGCCTCTCCGCATGATCAAATTTAGAGGAAACCCTAAGGGAGGAGAAAATGTAACAATTTACCTGTTTCTCACTTGCTCTCTGGAATCCTTCAAGAGGCAGAAATCTTTTAAATGATTTATCTTAAAAGACCTTAACTTGCACTAATTTGGAGCTGTTAACAGTGAAATTACTTTAAAAAAAAAAAAAACCTGCTATATACTACTAAATGATACTTAAGTCTTCCAGCAGCAAAAAGGCAAAAACTTCATTAAGTATTTAGAGCAGATATGCTCTTATCACCAGTCAGAGAAGTTTTCCCATCTGTCTAGAGAGTAACCTAAGTTACTTCTTATTTTAGACGGCATTTAGTTAAAATGAAATTAGGTTATGTTTCACAACGCAGATGTCGCTCATAAAGAAGTGTTAAATGACTTTAGTGAATGGAAAAATCTGCACCTACTGTTGCTTCGCATCAGCTGGTCTTGAGTGGGTTGCTCAATGAACCAAAATCTCCCTATCAAACTCCCTGGCACCTGATTGCACTTTCCACAGCGTTAACAGCAAACAAAACCCGGGAAGGGAGTACAATGAAGACCCCGCCTTTTCTCCGGTGTGGCCAGAAGGCAAGCGGAGGTGAGGTTGAGGGAACACCGCGACACTCTCTGCAAAGGCGGGTGCGGTCTTCAGAGCACGGCACAGCCTCTTTGGGGGCTGTCACAGGAAAACCCAAGCCTTGCCTTAAACCGCCCGGAGCGACAAAGCGCCAGGTCCCCCCCCCTCCCCGCCGCGCGCCGGGGGCTTCCGGAGAGCCCTGCCATAGCCCCGTCAAACTTCGGGAGGGGCAGACACTCGGGGACCCAGAACGCTGAGCCGCCCCGCCCCCATCCCAGGTCCCCGCTGGGCTTTGTGCCGCTGCAGACTCACCTACCGCGGGCCCCAAAGACGCGCCATCCCCGCCAGGCTTGCCGATCTCCCTTCCAAAGGGGACAAAAGAAGCCGGAGAGGGGCTCGCTGAGCGGGGTGCCCGGGGGTGCCCACAGCCCGAGCTCGGGACGTGGGACTAGGGAGTACGGTCACCCCGGAGGGAGGCGCGACTCCGCCGCCCCCCAACTCCGCGGACAGCGCCACTCACCGATGCGGAGCCCCCGAGGCGGCGGCTCGCCGGGATCACGGTGAACCCCCCGAGTCCCGGGCCCTAGTGTCCGGCGGGACCCCCCAACTTCTCTCGGTCGCGGTCGTCGGAGGCAACTGCGAGCCAGCCCCGGCGGAGGGCGCCGTCTAGCTGCGGCGGGGGCTCGGCCCCGAGCGGCGCGGGAACTCCGGTCCCACGGCCCCGCGGGCCAGGGCGGGCCCCCTTCCCTTCCCTTCCTTGTCGTTCCCTGCCGCTGGCCGCTCCCTGCGGCGGCCAAGTCGAACGCTGCTGCCGCTCGGGATGCCGCTGCCGCTACCACCGCCGCCCAGCTGGGAGCGCGTCGCAGCCGAATGCTGTCATCCGCCCTGACGCCGCCTCTCCGTGCGCCGCGAGCCGCCGCGAGCCTTCACATCCCAGGCCCCGCCCCCGACCCGGCCCGGCCCCGCCTCTGTCCGGGATCGCGGACACGCCCCCTTCCCATCACGTGACGACGCAAAGGGGGCGGTCCTGCCTGGGTTTCTCCTGCGGACCCGGCGGTTCTCGCGCCTAGGCAACTGCCCAGCGCTTGCTTGCAGGCATGGCGAGCTGTCGTGGTCACCTCGCCTCCGCGCGCCCCGGGCTCCTCTCTCGAGAGGCCCTGAGGTCGAGGACCTGGTGCCCGCTCCTGTCCGCTGGTCCCCTGAGGTGAGGCCTTGGGGTAGGTCGTACCCGTCCTGCCTCACCTGAGCTGAGCAGGACCTGCCTCCCCTCCTCCTTCCTGCTGGGTCCAGCTCTAGCCCAGTCGGCCTGCAGGAAGCTTCGAGTGGACATTGTTGTGGCTTGAAAAGCATTTGGGAACTGCTGCCTCTTACTTGCAATGGAACGTTCACTGTGGTGTCTCATTTGCGGGGTTCCTCTGAAAAGGTTTGAAACGTGGATTTCAGTCAGTCTGACTGGGATGAAAATAGCCTAGCTTTTTTGTTGTTGTTTTTCCTAGTCATGAGCAAGACCCGAGTGCCAGCTTTTACAGTCATTAAATTTGACAGTGAAGTTGGTGACAGTTTAAATAAATACGTGAAAATTTGGCAATCCCTCCTCAATTGGAGAATAATGCCTAATAATTTATTTTTAAATATCTCAAGTCGTACACTTCATCTTGGGCTTTTTTAACCATGGCCCTGGGAACAGCTCTCCATAATGTGGATGAGAGAATGGGGTAGAGCTCATCACCAGAGGAAAGCATACATTTCAGAAAAACAGAAAGAGATGACACTTAGGCCCACTAACAAGACACTTTTTTGTGATAAAAAGTCAATTAGTGACTTGCTTTCCCTTCTACTTCAGAACTGTTTTGTTATTTTAAATTTACATTTTAATTTCCATAACATTTCTTGACAAGAAATCAGGTAACTTTCAAATCGTCTAGATACTTCAAAGTCAAACCACAGAGTTTGGCCTGCTATTGATCTATTTCATAGCAGCTCTTAAAAAAAAAAAAAATTACAGACTTGACTGACCATTATATCTCCCAAGGAAAGAGCAACTTGCTGCCCAGTTCATTGATGCCAGGCCACTGGTCTTTCAGACACGTCTTGAATCAGATACATTTCAACATTTGAAAAACAAGACACTGTCATGAAGTGCCAGTTCCAGTTAAGGAAAGACTCTGCCATGTCCTGTTCACAAACCTGAGAGACTGTACTTCACATAAACATAAGTTTATTGGTATGTGAGGAAGGTAACGTTGCAGCTTGTCAGCAGACTGAAACTTGCCACCTGTTATCTGAAGCAGTTTCTTTTTGTGAGACTGTAACTGAAAAGCCAACTTCATTTTTTTTAATGAACTAGGTTTTAATGGAATATAATTTAAGAGATAAGAGGGCATAACATCTAAACTGAGTAAAAACTAGTATGTGGGAGGCTAGAGAGATGAGCTCAGCAGTTAAAGAGTACTTGTTGTTCTTGCAGAACCTGGTTTCTCTTCCCAGCACCCACAGCCATCAGTTCCAGGGAATCCCACCTCTTCTGGCCACCTCAGGCACCTGGCATGTACATGCAAGCAAAACACTCATGCACAGAAAAGGAAATCCTTTTTTTTTTTTAATTACTTTCTAAATAGCTGGGTGTGGTAGCCCATGACTGTAGTCTGCACATGGAAGGCAGATGCAGATATCTGTGAGTTCAAGGCCAGAGTGTTCCACATAGCAAGTTCTGGCACTACAGAGACACATAAAGAGACCCTGTATTTAAACAAATAAAAAAAAAATCAGGGTAAAAGTGAGTCCCCTGCTGTTATTTAAATTGCATTTCTTACTGTGAGCTGCAGTCAAATATATTTAAACGATGTTCCTAAAATATTAGATAACAAGAACAATATAGGATCTCAGCTGTTTCCTTTGTGGTCTGATTTTACCCTGGTAATTGAGACTGACGACTACAATAAAAGAGGCGAATTGCTTTGCATAATTCTTTCCTGCCTCAGCCCCAGTTTCTCCAATTGTCTTCGAAAATCTGGCCATTTGTTGTAGTGGAAAACACTCTAAGAAAGAAGGAGACCTACATTATAGATATAGCTAATTAGATATGTGTCAAGATAAATTGCTCTCTGCATTTCCAGTTCTGAAAAAAAAAAAGTGAGGAGTTAGACTACATACTCATTAAGGACTGGTAACTTTATTTTCTTCAGTAGATGATGCTCACATGAGACACCAGCCATCAGTATACAAAAGAATACAGATTCTTGACAGACTAACTGAAATTTTTTAGCATCACTTTTAAAAAAAACAGTTTGGGAGGTGGACTAGAAGACTCTCAAGAGTTGAGTTACATAATGATGATGGCCTGAGTTTGGTCACTGGGGCCTATAAGGGGAGAACCAACACCTACAAGTTGTCTCTCTCTCTCTCCCTCTCTCTCTCTTTCTCCTGCACGCACGCACGCACGCACGCACATACACACAATAAATAAATCTTTTAAAGCACGAAAGGTGACTTGATGGTTAAGACCCCTTGCTGCTCTTCCAGAGAATCACTCCGGTTCCCAGCACCTGTAATGGGTAGCTTGCAACTGCCTGCAGCTCCAGCTCCAAAAGATAGGATGTCCACTTCTGGACTCCATGGGTATCCGTACTCACAAGCACATACCCACTCGTTACACATAACTGAAAATGAAGTCTTTTTAAGTTTAGTGCAGGTAATTGAAAGTAAAGAGTTACTGGACAACAAATGTAAGTACATCCCTCATACACGTCTATATGTCAATGTTAATATTTGTCTGAATAACTAGTGGTTTTGACACAAGTCACAGCTGACCAGAACAAAATATCAATGCAAGCCAAACCTGGAGGCACAGGCTTGTAATCTTAGCCAATCAGAAAACTGATGCAGGAGGATTGAAAGGTCAGACCCAGCCCGGTCTAGAGTATCAGTTTTTTTGTCAGCTTGACACAAATCTAGACATACCTGGAAAAGAGAGAGTCTCAAATTAAGGAATTTCTTCTATCAAATTGGCCAATGGACATGTCTAGAGCATTTTCTAGACTGCTAATTGACATAGGAGAGCCCAGCCTACTCTAGGAGGTGCCATCCCTAAGCAGATGGACTTGGGTTATACAAGAAAAGTGGCTGAATGTGAGCCAGTATCATCCAGGTGAAACCTGTGACCAGTACCATCCAGGTGAAATCTGTGACCATAGCATCCAGGTGAAATCTGTGACCAATATCATCCAGGTTAAATCCTCAGGAACGTATTTCCTCAGGGTTCACACACAGAAACTGTGATCCATAGGGGACACGGATGCAACCCAGGCTGGCAGCTAAATTTAGCAGTGCGTATCTTCCTGAGAGTTTCAGGACTGCAGAGGTCACGTAGAGCCTCTGAGGGTTGGCACTGTGAGAAGCTAAGAGAGTCCGTTGGTGAAGCTGACGCATCAGTGAGAGTGGAAACTCTAGGCTTGAAAGAGTCATGGAAAGACACTGAAGTTTGGCACCGTGTGATACACACGTGAACAAAAACAAAAATAAATGTTTTTTCTTTAAAATAACATTTTAGCCATGCTACAATGCTTCCTAGACCACATTTGTTTTTATTAAAAACCTGTTTTTTGTTTTGTTGTTTTCGTTTTGGTTTTTCAAGACAGGGTTTCTCTGTATTGCTTTAGAGCCTGTCCTGGAACTAGCTCTTAAGACCAGGCTGGCCTCGAACTCCACCTGCCTCTGACTCCCGAGAGCTGGGACTACAGGCGTGTGCCACCCTTTTTAGAATCATTGATTTCATGTGTATGAGTATGTTGCCTGCATGTGTGAACATGTACTCTGTGCATGTCTGACACCCACATGGTTCAGAAAAGGGGGTGGATCCCCTGGAACTAGAGATACAGATGCTTGTGAGACACCATGTGTGGGTGCTGAGAATCAAAACCTAGGCCCTCTGCAAGAGCAACAACTGCTCTTAACCATTAAGCCATTTCTCCAGGCACCCTACATTTATTTTTTGGAATTGTTTCTTTAATTTCATACACAGGCAAAAAGAAATGTACTACTCAACATATTGAACTTTGAAAACTTAGTCATTTCCTGGAAAAGGTAAAACAGTCTCCAGCATGCTTAGCCGGGATGCCAGTTCATCTGCCAACAGCAAGAAAATGGAGATGAACAGGACAGAGTCCCCATCCTCACTATCATCGGCTACCATTCACTTGCCCTTGGGCAAGCCTAGATATCAGCACACTCCTTTTCCTTGTTAAAAAGGATCTTTGTTCATGTTCTCCTCTTATCAAAAATGGACTTTTTTCCTTAAATAAAATAACCTGACCATGGTCTCCCCTCTCTCTACTCCTCCCAGCTCCTCCCCACTCCCCATCCCATCTGGATCTACCCCTTCTGTCTCTCCTTAGAGAACAAACAGGCTTCTAAGGGATAATAATAAAATATAGTGGGATAAAAAAATCTAACACATCAAAATTGGATAAAACAAACAAAAAATAGAAGAGTCCAAGAGAAGGCACAAGAAACAGGGACCCACCCACTTTTTCAAGCATCAGGAGTCCCATAAAAA